GCAAGGAGTTTGCCATATGATTATTTGAAATCTCACCCTATTGCTATATATTTCTAAATATAATTCTGTTTAAAACATGGTCAACTTATAATATACAACTGAAAAATTCAATAATACTCTACATTCATGTAATTACCTAGGTATGGACAACTGAAGAAAATATTAGAGTCTTCACCTTATCTTTATGAGTAAAATAAGTGTACCTAAAGAGCAAATTAGAAAGGGACCCATCTTTTCAAGTATCAGTGGTAAGAATTACCATTTTTCTAAGCTAACATTCTGGCCCAAATGGAGAGAGCGAGTACCCAGAAACACCGCCCTGGCATGGAACCCTCCCACGCCCTGCGGCGTGGCTCTTACTTGAATATGAGGTCGTCCACGTCAGTCAGAGTAGCACCGATACTTTTCAACAGCAGATTGACAGAATAAATTGGAATGATTTCCTGTTTTTCTTTGTCTGACTCTCCACCACCAGAGCCCAAAGACAGACTCAAGTGCAACTGAAAGAAAAATGATGCTCAGTAAATGAAAGCTAAAAACAAAACAAAAAATTCACATACACAGAAACCAGATAGTCCAGATACAAACGCTATATTTTTGAATTTGAGTCCTAAAGAAAGCTATCATTTTTTACACTATACGTTACACAGAATAGCTCACTTAGACCTGATTCTCCTATTTACTTTTTGATGAAATACAAATTAGTCAGTTCCAAAGCTCAAACTATAATTTTATTCAACGTGTATAAAGTATTTATATGGAGGAGCCCAAAACACTTTGTAAAAATAGCATAATCACTTCAAGAAAAAAACATATCAACTGGCTCCCCATAGTCTACTGCTCCAAATAATGGATAATCATTTATCTTCACCCAATAAGAGAAATAACTTATGGTAACAACTAACAATAACAATTATAATTATACATTAATAACAAGTAACAATAACATGACAATTATGGCAATAGTTAGCCAGTTCTTAAAAGAGTTGGAAAGTTTTCGACTTCCACAGACCCTTCACTCAGCCCTTAAACAGGAGGTTTTGCACATTCCCACTTCACTGCTTCCACTTTGTGCTGCATCATCATTAATGCAACAGCGCCAGAGCACACAGGGGGCAGGTAACCCAAACGTGTAAGTAAAGCAGGTGACTGTCCTCCCCATGCTGCCATTCTCTAGGCGTTTTCCCTAACCTACAGAGAGCTCAACAGAGGGGACATGGGAAAGGCCAGGAAAGCCTGGTTGCTGGGTTTTTCTTTGATGTAAAACTTTCATTCATCCGTAGAGTCAGAGTGCTGGGATCCAGGAAAGGAAGCCTTAGTGAAGAGATCTAGCCTTTTCCTGGGGTGAAGTCATCATGGAATAAGAAAATGATTGTGGTTCATGATCTTAAGTATTTAAATTCAAGGCACAATTCCTAGTGTGCCTAAAATTACGTATAGGTAAATAATTCGTCTTTAACACCTCTTTGATTATGAACTCCATGAAGTCATTCTATACCTACCACAGCAACGTTGATAGCAGGCATTCAGTAAATATTTGTTGAAGATATTCTTCAATCTCAAATAACTGATTTTCACTTAATAATGAAAAAGAAACTGTGTACACCACATAAAACAGTATCACTTTTAAACTTAACACTATGGGTGTGTCTGATACTAAACTAAC